GAGTTTCATTAAAGATATGGTGTTTCAAAATATTTTCAATGCCCTGCCTTACACCAAAATATATATATTTTCCTTCAACATGCATGGAAGTAGTTGAAACAACCTTTGGAGTACATAAAAGTGACCTTGCATCTTTTGGCAGTTCCTTGTGACCATTTCGAATCAAAATATTTAATAAGTCGTTTACACATTGTCTGGTGCAGCCATGTTTTAAACTCCAGCACTTTAGTTCATTTTTAAATGGTTCTAATGGTACCAGATCTTTGTATGATTCATTATTAATTGATATATCATGTAAATCTTTTTCCTGGTTATCATTTAATTCTGTAAATAGAGTATCTTGAGATGCACAAGTCTTGTATGAAGAATCGTCCCCGCTTAGCATAGAAGCGGAAGAACTATAGGAGCTACAATTAACAGACTCAATGTTATTATTTGTTTGAATTGACTGTGAAAGGTTCTGTACAGATCTTCTTAAATTCCGCCACTGGGTTATTCGCTTGCTAAATAAATAAAAACTATGACATAAATACGCAAACAATGCTTAAAATGTTTAATCTATTTGTTTTGTCTAAATGCCAAAATAAATATACTATTACATATGTAAAATATCCTCTAAATATACATTTAGAAGATATTTTACATAGAGAATCTTTAATAAGGATTGCCATTATATTTTAGAATAAACTCATTTTAACTTAATTTTTTTTAATTTCTAACTGAATAAGTTATTATTTAATTAATAAATTATTAAATTACTTATGTTTTCATGATAACTTATGAGTTTATCAAACTAACCTTTTTGTAGGAGAAACATGTTGTCGTTTCAATGATCAATGCCTTGGGGAAGGGAATTATCAAAATAATAATAATAATAATAATAAAATTCTGAATTAAAAAAGCAATAAACATTCAGATCTATAAAGTTAAGTTTTTGTGGTTTATTGCAAACAATTTCATTAAATTACTTTCCACGAAAAAAACTGTCGTCCAACATGCAATGTTGACGTAAATTTCAGAATGTTGTGGTAAGATTCATTTAAGCAATTAATGCTATTCCAGAATCAGTATTGAAAAAGCACTTAAATTTCAGCTTTAATGATACTTCCAAAAAACAATAAATTTTTTTAAACACTGCAAAAAAACACTTATAGACATGAAAAAGTATGTATTTTAAAACTATATACTAAATATAATATATCTTTATACTATAAAAAATATTAACTGGTTTTTATATAAGTATAATTATAGTTGAATAACTCAGGCTTAAAATTTTTCTTTACAAGAATTAACAAACAACAACTTGAAATAAATAACTATTTTTTTACTTTTAACTTTTCTAATTAGGGAATAAATAATATTTAATAAATAAATTATTGAATTACTTATGTTTTCATGATAACTTATGAGTTTATCAAACTAACCTTTTTGTAGGAGAAACATGTCGTCGTTTCAATGATCTTTTGTAATCCATATCTGGATCAGATGGCCTTTCTTTGTTTTACGTATATGTATATTTGCGTATATATATATATATATCTAGTTTTATTTATTATTATTATTATAATAATACATAAAACTAGATAAATAAATAATAATAATAAATAAAACTAGATAAATATATATATATATATATATATATATACACATATATATATATATATATATATATATATATATATATATATATATACATATATATATACATATATATAATATACTTATTTCAAATAAAAATATTGTTTAAATACATTTATAATATGTTTGTATATGAATACATATTCTAAAGGTGACACAAGTACAAATACAGGTACAGGTACAAGGTGACACAAGGTCATCTTTTTCCTATTTATATAAATAGGTATATGTACATATATATATATATATATATATATATATATATATATATATATATATATATATATATATATATATATAAATAGTACAATGTGCATTTACCTATTTATAAATTGAAATAAATTTAGAATATATATGAATATATATAACCTTAAGGTCATATATATTCTAAATTTATTTCAATTTATAAATAGGTATGTATAGGTTTAAATGTGCATACATTGTACTATTTATATATATATATATATATATATATATATATATATATATATATATACATATATATATATATATATATATGTTTATATATATATATATATATATATATATATATATATATATATATATATATATATATATATATATGTATATATATATATATATATATATATATATGTTTATATATATATATATATATATATATATATATATATATATATATATATATATATATATATATATATATATATATATATATATATATATATATATATATATATATATATATATATATATTTATATATATATCGATGGACCTTCAATGGAAGGTCCATCGATACATCTATATAAAAATAAAGAATAAATTAAAACAATTAAATAAACCATATATAAAAACTTATTATCCGGCTAATCTTCTTCTGTTAACAGAAGAAGATTAATTAATAGATTAAGAATTTTATTAGTTAATAGAATTCATAATTAAAGTTCTTAAATTAGTTGATAAAATTGACCTCTCTACATTTTTTTGCACCATGTTTATAACAATTTACATTCACGCATGCGTAAAAGTAGAACCCAGAGAAGAGAATATACCTCCTTTAGATGCGAACGTACTGTGGACGTCTCAGGACTTACCATTTTGGACTTACTATTACTTCGACTATTTTGGACGTCCATTGTACGTTTCATGACGTCCCATTTTGGACTTGGACGAACAGACCTAAACGGTACGTCCTATGGACGTCCATAGACGTCCTGTGCCCACTGGGTTTAGGCTTTATATGTGCGTGTTTTTTATATCAGGTTGTAAAATTATCATATTTATGTTTAAGTAACACGAGTTTTCAAATTAGGAAAACTGATTCTCTCCATCATGACTGTTAATGTTTTAACGTGCAACATAAACGGTCTAAACGACCAAGAAAAACGCGAAAATTTTTTTGGGTTTCCAAAAAAATCCTCCTTCGATCTCATCCTCCTACAAGAAACACACTCTGGACCTTCCACTGTTCAACAGTGGGGAGACGAATGGACTGGCGAGTCCATTTGGAACTCTGGTCCAAGTCATAACAGTTGCGGGGTGGCGGTTCTCTCGAAATCCAACATTTCTTTAAGCGAACTAAAAAGGGACACTAACGGAAGAATATTAAATGTCATAATAAAATTTGACGAACACGAAATGCAGGTGATGAATATTTATGCTCCTAATGTGCCGAGGGAAAGGCGCCATTTTTTTGGCGACCTTGTTGATTCCTCGCAGGACACAGGACTACCCGTCCTGTTGGCCGGAGACTTCAACATGGTCGAAAGCCTGCCTCTTGACACAGAAGGCACCAACAACGCTAAATACCACACCTACGGCGTGGACGAACTCGGGGTATTCCAAGGTAAGTATAACCTGGTTGATGTTTTTCGTTTAAAATTCCCGAACAAAAGAGAATTCACATGGCGAAATCAGAAGGCAAAATGTAGACTCGACCGAATCTACTGCCCTGAAGAAATCGCAAAAAAAACAACATATACAAAAATTCTCACCAACCCCTTCTCCGACCACGAGTTCGTAACAACAACCGTCAATTTTAGTAAAACCAGGAGAGGACCAGGATACTGGAAATTAAACTGTTCTCTTTTAGAAATAGAAGTGTATAGGCAAAAAATTGAACTCTCAATTAAAGATTGGCAAACTAAAAAACGGTCCTACAATTCAATTTTAAAATGGTGGGACGACTGCAAACTTTTTGTTAGGGTAGAATTACAACATATATCTATTCAGGAAAGTGCGAAAAACAAAAAACAGATCAAAAGGATTGAAAACGAAATCCAGCGGGAGCGACAAAACGCCAACCCGAATTTAGATAGCATCAAAGAAAAACGCGATGCTCTTTTCTTGCTCCATTTCCCAGGAGCGTTTATTCGCACGAAGCAAAAACTAGTTGAAGAAGGAGAAAAACCTTCAAAATTTTTGTACAGTTTGGAAAAAACTCAACAGAGGAACAAGTCAATTACCAAAGTTCGCAAGAACGACGGAACATTGACGAGTGAACCTGGTGAAATTTTAAACTCCCTTGTTTCTTATTACAAAAACATCTACACCAAAACGAATTTATGTAAAGACAGCCAAAACTATGTCTTGTCACACATCACTAAACATTTGAGTGATGATGAAAACCAATTATTAAACACCCGCCTAACCGGCACGGAGTTAAAAGAAGCCCTTTTTAAATTTGAAAACGGAAAATCCCCGGGCTATGACGGACTTCCAGCTGAATTTTATAAAACTTTTTGGCACATTTTAGAAAAAGATTTTGAAGAACTTGCTTACGAAATACTTTTCGTAGAAAAAAACACCAGCCACTCTATGAAAAGATCAATAATTTCACTAATTCCCAAGCAAGGAGATCTCACCGAATGTAAAAATTGGAGGCCCATATCCTTAATCGGCGCTGATTACAAAATAATCACAAAAGCGCTGGCCCTAAGACTTGCAAAAGTAATGGGGAAAATTATAGAACCAAATCAAACTTGCGGAATTCCAGGTAGAACAATTTTCTCAAATTTACACCTAGTCCGTGATCTAATAGATTACGCCGAAATTAAATATCTACCTAGTTTCATTTTGTCAATAGATCAAGAAAAGGCGTTTGACAAAGTCGATCGCGCGTTCCTGCTGCAGATTCTCCAAAAATTCAACCTCGGAGAAAATTTTATATCTTTTATTAACACCCTGTATTCAGAAATTTCGGCATCTGTTCTGAATTGCGGATTCTTGTCAGCCACTTTTCCAACCAAAAGGGGAGTTAGACAAGGAGACCCCCTCTCACTTTTGTTGTATGTCTTTGTCGCCGAAGCTCTTGCTTTGGTGGTCAGAGCGGACAGCAGAATTGAGGGATTCCCTCTACCAGGAACATCGAAACCGCTTAAACTACAGCAGTACGCAGACGATTCTAACTTTTTTGCCAGGGACGTAAAATCAGTCCGTTTCTTTTTTGAAGCAGTAAAACTTTTTGAAAAAGCAAGTGGTTCAGTAATCAATGCCTCAAAAACCAAGGGTCTTGCTCTTGGGGGCTTTGATCCCAAAATGTACCCGGAATTGGACAACATAGAGTGGACTAATAACACCGGTTTCAAAATTTTAGGTGTTACGTTTTACACCAGACTGAGTAATACTACCAACTTCAACTGGCTAGTAACTTTAAACAAAATAGAGAAAAAACTCAAGTTTCTGGGACTACGTACTTTGTCACTTAGGGGAAAGACTATGTTGATAAATACGTTAGCATTGTCAAAAGTGTGGTTTCTGGCAAACGTTTTGCCCGTTCCCGAATGGGTAATAGAACGGTTGCACAGTGCCATTTTCGAAAATCTGTGGCAAAAGACCAATTTCAACCCGGTCAAAAGAGAGACGCTTTTCTTACCCGTCAAAAGCGGGGGTCTCGGAATTTTATCACCGAAGGAGCAAAGCCTTGCGCTCCGCCTCAAAACACTCTTTCAACTGAAGGAATGCGGAGAGGATAACACTCACGATAATTACTACTTTTCAAAGTACTGGTTAGCAAGTTCACTTATTAAATTCACAAACCTAAACCCAAGCTGGAACTTTTTAAAACAGAACAATTTACCAAAACACTGGGACAACAAAATGTCTCAGTACTACAAAACAACTATTGAAGTTTTAGGCAAAAACGGGTCCCTTTTTAACATCCCCCTAAAATCAACAAAAAATTTTTACTTAGAAGTGGCAAAAAACAAAAAGACAGTTGTACCAGCAGAACTTTTCTGGAACGGTTCAACAAAAACAACAATGCCGTGGACCCAAATTTGGAAAAAGAATTTTACCTCCCACGCATGCGGACCGACTCAAAACATCCTCTTTCGATTTTTGCACAACAGCCTACCTTCTGCGGCCTTGCTAGCCAAAAGCACAAGGCAACAGATTGTCCAAAACAACAAATGTAAAACTTGTGGTAAAATCGAGGACAACCTTCACATCTTTGCCTACTGTCCTCCTTCCGTTGAAATTTGGGAATATTTTAAACATGTATATAACTCCTTGACGTCCCAAACGGTTTTTTCGCCGATAAATTCGATTTTCTCAATCGGAACCGCGAATTTATCGGAAAAAAATCCTACCTCGCAACTGCTGTTGACACTCACTCAAACCATCATGAGCGAGATATGGAACAGCAGATGCCACCACATGTTCAGTAACATAAAAACTGACCCAATGGTAGTGATCAGGGTAATAATCAGAAAAATCAGGATTATTATTAATTTAAAATATAATTATCATGTCCGTAGAAACACTACGGACATTTTCTGTCAACTTTTTTGTATTAATAATATAATATGTCAAGTAGAGAACGGAAGACTGAAACTAAACATATGAGCTAAACTGACACCCTAGCTCAAATAAAAGAACTATATGTTTAGTGAGGTTTTCCATTTCTCTACGAATTATTATTTTTACAACAAAATATTATTATTTATGATTAAAAAATCACTGCCAGCCTTTATTTATGAGTTATAATATCCCTTTTTAGATGTTTTCTCTGTAGCGTACCTAATGTGGTATTTGTGTGAAAGTCTTGTACTTTTCTGCTGTTATTAAGTTATAATTTCCTTTCTTTAAATAATAACTTCACGAATTCTTTTTAAAATATCTTCCTCTTTAAATTTTCCAAACCTTCGATTTTTTTTCCGCACAATGGCTTTCTATTATAAAAACAAAAAATACAAAAAAAATATATATAAAATCAAAAATAAAAAAAATATATAAAATACAAAAACACAAAAAAATATAAAATTTAAAAAATCAAAAAAAAAAAAAAAATATATATATATATTTAACCACGGTAACGATTGTATCACCATTCTTATAATTATTATTGTAACACGATTATTATTAAAACCATAGTAACAATTTTTCTTTTGAAAACGTGCACGAAATATTGTAAAACTATAATTTTTAAAATTTTGAGTTAATGTATTTTTAAACAGAAATATTTCTTTAATTGTAAAGAGGATATTTTTTTTATTATACAGAAATAGTTTAAAAAAATTGTAAATATTTATTATTTTGAAATAAATTTTATATAAAAAAAAAAAAAAAAAAAAAAAAAATTCGGTTTCATTCATTCGGTTTTTTTATTAAAATCTTTTTTTTATAACTTTTAAAAGTTAACATCTTAGTAAGTTTTTATATAATTAAATTGAGTTAAAACATCTATTTATAGTATATAAACCTATCATTATAAAATTCTTTATAATATGATACAATATTTCTAGAAGTTATATGAACGGTTAAGCGCCGGACCTGCCTATACAACGAATATGTTTTTTTATAGAAGTTATCAATCAATCAATCAATATATATTTCGTCAATGAACAAAAAAGAAAGAAAATTTTACAATGTACTTGTAAAATAAAAATAAAATAAAATATATTTTTTAAATTCTGACAGGAGCAAGCAGAAGACAATACATCTTATCATCTTGCCCCTTTGATAGTAAAATAGTTAACTTTATTTACATGATTAGGTTCGTAAAATCTATAATTATAAAATTAGTTTATTATAAAATTAAATTTTTTTTAATTAAACATACATATTCGTATTAGTAAATACATAAAAATACGACTTAAAAATACAAAAAAATATTTTTATTGGTTAGATTTAACAAATGTTGTTTCACAGTTTTTTTAAATGCTTTAATTGAGGCTATAGATTTTATGTCATTATTCAGGATTGAGTTCCACAGACGTGGACCCCGACAAATAATAGAGTAGTCCGATTTTTTAAGAGTTGTTGATGGTATGTAAAAATTGTCAATAGAATATCTTGTTAAGTATCTGTGATTAATTAAAGAGAAATGTGGCTGAAAATATGATGGAAGCATGTTATTGTGAAGTTTAAACATAAACAATAAATTTTGATAAATGTTTAGTTCGAATACATTCAGAGCTTTAATTTCTTTTAGTAAAGGCTTGGCGTGTGCATATCTGTCTGCATTAAAAATTAACCGAGTCGCTTGTTTTTGTTTGAATAAATTTTTTTTAATAAAGACTAGTGATTACTTGCCCAAGCTATATTACAATAACTAATATCCCAGCCAACATTGACAGACGGGTACCGTATGGTTTTTGTCTGGGCTTACGGGAACGGGATTTTGACGGGTAAGTGTTTTGGTTTCCAATCGGGTCCCATATGGTAATAAAATCAAGCATATTTGCTCGTTAGGGTTTTATCTGGTTTTTATCAGGGCCGAATAACCTGGGGATTTGACGGGTTTCCCATAAGGTTCCCAAAAGGTTTTAAAAAAATCATAACAAAACTTACTCGATGGTTGCCATTTTTAATTCGTTTTGTGCGTGAAATAAATTTAAAAATTTAACTTTTATGCATTACATTTTTTGAATACATTATATTTACATTGTAATTAAAAAGAATTTTTTTTTTGATGTGTTTTGTCACTGTAAAACTCAGTTAAAAAGACGTTGTTTTAAAATTTCATTTATTTATTATCATTATAAAAGAATTTTTATATATACATATATATACATGTATACTATTTTTTAAATGAATTTACAAAGTTCAACATATTTATTGAACATATGTTCCAGAAACTATTAAACATGTAGTAAATGTTCCATTGAGAAACTGTTTGCATTTTTAAAATGATCAAAATATAAAGTTTTGTTTCTGCTAGTCACTCGCAGAAACAAAACTTTATATTTTGATCATTTTAAAAATGCAAACAGTGCAAACTAGCAGCTAGTGATATAATTAGATAATAAATGGTTTGAGTTTAATCAAAATATTAGTTTAGTCAGAAACATTTAAAAAGAGCAAACAGGCGAATAGAATGTAATGGATAGGTTATATTTAGGGAATTAAAAGCTGTTAAATCGTTTTTACAGATCCACTCTTTTCCATTGATTTTTCTATATTTTATGCAAGCAAAATGACTGATGTTAACGAAGTTTACCTACCGTCAGATATAAATAAAGATATAATTAGATGCTTAAATGCAAAAATATGGCTTTATTGTTATGCATCAACCTCATTTTTTATTCATTGATATTTTTTGATTTTGATTTAAAATTGTACACTTGCAATATAAACAATAATTTCATAATATACATAATAATAACTTATACTTACAATACCTATACTTGTAAATACTTGTAATATAATACTTATGTTTATAATACTAATTAAAATTTTTATTGATATAAACTTTTGCATTCAAACTTTAGTTATAAAACTTTAATTTAACTTAATAACTTTTACATAAATAACAATAACTAAAAAAAGATGTTAGTTATTATATAGATTATAACCATATGCTTATTTATTATAATTGAGTTACAGTTAGTTAAACAATATATAATGTTAAGTTCCAGGCAATAGGTCTTATATAATATGTATGTTATGTATATCTTGTATTTTGCAGCATGTTAAAGAATATTTCTGCATGGTGCACTCTGACTGTTGACAATATTTGCATATTGATATGAGTAAAAGTGACTTCAACAACCAGAATGTGTTTTTGATAAATATTAATAATAACAGGTTAGTAAATATAATTATAGTAATAAAGGCAATAACTTTTTATTATTAGAATTAGTGAGAGACTTATGTATAATAGAGCTACATTAACTTTGGGGGACAAATATAATAACTTGAGTAAATATACCCGTTGTTTATAACCTCGATTAGAGTAATGTAAGTAAATATTATTTTTATCTAAAGAATATTCGGCAAAAGTCAGTATTTCCTAAGTATTAAATATTATAAAAAAACATGTGTTTAAAAAAAAAAAATTTAATGTATCATAAAATAAAAAAATATTTTAGTATAAAAAAAAACACATTTATTATTATAATGTATAAACATTACATTAACTATGTTGTCTATAAAGTAGGGGTTGCAGCTGATATTTCAGCTTCAGCTATAAACTCATTAGCTTCAGATTAATGCTGAAGCTGATCAAGTCAGTTTAATCATCTTGATAGCTGATAGTAAAAGAGAATATTACTCCATAAATATTTTATATAAAATATATTTTTATATAAAATATTTATGGAGTTAAAATCTAAAATAGTGACAAAATTTAAACATACATGTAAATTTTAAATAAAATTTGCCAAATGCTGTTGCTATTTATAAATGTTGCCGTCAGAGCCTAGGCCTAGGACTTACAATATTAGGGGACCCAAATTATGTTTTTAGAAATTTGTTTAAAAAGTGGTGCCCAAAAATCTAATTCCATTTTTAATTATTTTAAGGGGACCAACTATTTTTTGTTCAAAAAGAGTACACTTTGCAAGTATTTCATAGGTAAAAAAAAAAGGAAGATAAAACGATAAAGAACTTTAATTTTTTTTTAAAACATATTTTTCGTCAGAGTGGATTTTTTTGCTAGATGAGGATGCTCGTCTAATAATGTAGCTGCATCCAAACATATTAAATTTCATATTAAATTTGAGTGTTAAGACGGCATATAATGTTTTTACAGAAAGTTGCAACTTCTCGCTGCCCCAATAATCAGGTATTTTCATTAGTGAAAATACCTTTTCAACAGCAGCATTAGTGCCTGGACAACATAAAGAGATTTCTGTTAAAACTTTTAAATTTTCATGTGGGATATGTTCTACTCTAAAATGCCAAAAAATTTCTACCCATCTTTTTTCAAGTTCTATTTTCTCATTGTTCCATTTTTCAATTTTTCTTCATTTAAAAATAAATTTATTCTTCCAATTTCTTCAAAAAGAAAATTGTTATTAATAACAATATCTTTTACTTCCTTTATTACAAATTCGACTGCTGATGAAACTTTTTTCCATTAAATTTTACTATTTATAATGGTCCATTTAAAACAATTCAATGCTCTTAAGTTCATTATCCATTCTTCGGTATATTCTTAGCAAATTTTATAAAAATTTTTAACTTCTTTTAAAAATTATTTTTATTTTTTTCCGGGATTGGAATCTTCCAGAGCGGCCAGTTTATAGGCTTTAATATAGACTTTAATATTATATATAGTAGTGTATGTATATATTTTTTATTTAAATTTGCCTTTAATTTGTTTTTTTATATTTTTCTGCAAAAAAAATTTTCTGTCACTTTATCCTTCTGAACTTATGTGATTAAGTTTTTGTTTTCTCTTACATATTTTCTCACTCATCTTATCTCATCCGTTCATTTTCTTTTTTTTTTTTTTTCATTTTTCTTAGCATTACTCTTTTATATTTTTGTGTTATTTCCAACTTTTTAAATAGTATTGTTCCTTATACTTCTTTTTTTATTACTTGTATTAATGTAGTTTTCTTTCTTTCTTATTATTTTTTATTTTATTTGTTTATTTTATAAAGGTGTCGCTCCATTGACTTGTTTTTAATATGAGTGACACCGAACATAAATTTGTAAATTATAATTAAGTTTGTACTTTTTGATTTTATGATTAATTAACCATAAGCGCATGCGTAGTATGAACAGTAAGGTTTTTGTTATCCTTAAATAAATGGATAAAAAACTTTGCTGTACATACTACGCATGCGTCAAGACTGTCAGGCATGGCGTACATACTGCACATCAAAGATCAGCCTGGGGATTACATACACAAATGTTGGATCCATCTCTTTTCACAAATGTAATTTTGACATTGTTAGAAAAAGAGGTCTGTAGTATCTATCTCTCCAGGTATATAATACGGCCTCTCAATTGTGTTGAAAATGGCAGCCATATGTGTGTTCAAAATTTAAGTCACTGTCAAACTTGTATCTGGTGTTTGCCCTGTCCTCTGACGTGCTGGAAACGGCAAGCAATATGTGCGCATGAAATTCAAATCACTGTCAAAATAATTTTAAATATTTAATTAATAAAATTGAAATGAAATAATATAAAAAAAATGTTTTAGAAATACAAATGAGTACAAAATTATACAAATGAGTATTTTCAGAGTACAGGATTTGAAAAAAGTACGGTTTGTGAAAAAAGAGTAAAAAAACTCAGTATATGAGAATAGCAGGTCACCTTAATTGTCTACATAATTTTTTGGTAGATTTCAAAGTTCTTGCAAAAGATGGTTTTATCTATGAAAATATTGAGTTTAAAATCAATCTTGCTGTTATCATATGTGATGCACCAGCTAGAGCATTTGTAAAGTGTATTAAAGGACACAATGGTTATAACTGATGTGAATGTTGTGCTTAGAAAGGAGAGTGGTGTGGCAAGTTAATTCTCCTACATATTTCACTAATTTTAAGCACTGATTCAGATTTTTTGTCATTAAAAGCATTCTGAACATCTTAGTGGTGTGTTAAATTGAATTAAATTTTGACATGGTGGCAAAGTTTCCTTTAGACTTAATGCATCTAGTATGCTTAGGGGTAATGCGAAGATTTCTCAACTTATGGTTAAATTGCCCAAATGTTTTAAATTGTCTCAGATTACAGTCAATACTTTATCTGGCGGATTGTTCCAGATGCGTCATTACATTCCAAGAAATTTTTCTAGAAAATCAAGGTCTTAATTAGATATTAAAAAATGGAAAACAACTGAGCTTAGACTATTTATAGTATACACTGGACCAGTTGTTTAATGGGAATAATTTAGCCAAAAATCTATTCAATTTTTTAGATATTTCAGTTGTAGTTCTACTTTCATAATGTTTTATTTTGTTGAAAAAATATGTTAATTTTGCTTTTCAGCTACTTATTTTTATATGTGAACTTTATCATAGCGATCAACTAGTGTACAATGTCCATTCATTAGCACATATAGGAAATAATACAGTTAAATTTTAGGTACTTGATAGATGTCCCTCTTTTAAATACAAAACTTTTTCAGGTCAGTTAAAAAATGTTTGTCTAGGGGGCAAATTTAGGGGCCCTTTTACAAATGTAAGGATTTTTTTTTTTTTTAGTTTTTTTATTTAGATTTTGTTTATCTATTGGAAAAGTTTTTAGGAATTTTTGGGCCCTTATGACAGGTTTTTTTTTGGAATAGGGGACTTGTATCTAGTAGCCACGGCACTGTGTATAAGGTAACTGTATACAATATATATCAAATTATATACAATGTAAATAAAAAAATATATTTATTTAACAATTTTATATAATTTATTTATCAGTAACTAAAGGAATGTTATCAATTTATTATATGAATCATAAGCATGTGCTTATTTATTACAAGTACCTTTGATGGTGAAAATTACATTTTTTATCTGAAGAGAGTTGGGAGAAATGGTAAGAGTTTTATAACATATTAAAATTAATGTATGTGTTACCAATAAAATTTAAAACTAACAGTTAAACTTAATTTTTTACAGTTCATATTGAAACGAGATATTTGATGGTGAAAATTACATTTTTTTTCTGAAGAGAGTTGGGAGAAATGGTAAGAGTTTTATAACATATTAAAATTAATGTATGTGTTACCAATAAAATTTAAAACTAACAGTTAAACTTAATTTTTTACAGTTCATATTGAAACGAGATATTGTGTAAAGAGGTTTTCTAAGAAGTCGTTTTAACAACAATGGAAAAGCTTCCGATTTCCGAGATAAACGTGAAATCATTTGATACATGGTTAAAGAATCGTTTAAAAGTTTGCTTAATTTTGACAGCGTAATTTTAATGACTATTTTTTTTGAAATAAACCAATCAATTTATATATAAGTTTGCTTTTTTTGTAAATTTTAAACATTTAAACGTAGTTTTGCAAGATTTGCAATGGGTAAACCTCGTGGGACCCTCACGGGATACCCGGCGGGCATACCCATATGGGCCCCAGAAGAAAACCGCGGCCATGATCCGGCGGCTTCCCGATGGGTTTCCCATATGGGTCCCATTTGCAAACCCAAATGGGTCCCTTACGGTATTAAAGTACGGGATTTGACTGGGACCCATACGGGATACCCGGCGGGCTAACCCATATGGGTCCCATATGGAAACCGCGGTCATGATCCGGCGGGATACCGTTGGTCTTCCCATACGGGACCCAGTTGACGACCCGTATGGGCCCCGTACGGTACCCGTATGTCAATGTTGGCTGGGATAGTTATGTATAAATGAAAAATATAAATTTTTGAGGCACGTATTATTCAAAAGGTGCTTCATTTTGAATATGATCCACAAGGTTAAAGAGACTTTGTTTTCTAATAATTTAATATGATTTTTCCAATTTAAATGTTCATCAAATAATATACCTAAAATTTTCATTGAATGAACATTTTTTATTTTAATGTTGTTTATAAATAAATCTGGAAGTTTAAGGGGTAAGTTATCAGTTTTTGAGGGTTTTGTGAACAAAATATATTTTGTTTTATCATTATTTAAAGAGAGTCTATTAGCTTTAAACCAGTCGTTGAGATTTACTAGTTCAGTGTTAACAGTAGAAAAAATCAGTGGCGGATTATCCATTAGGCTGAGTAGGCTGAAGCCTAGGGGCCCGTCAGCCATAGGGGCCCGGTTCGGAAGATGATTGCAAATTTTTTTACAGCAAATATCGATATAGGTATGTATCATGGATAAATGAATGTATCAGAACCAAATGTTATTTTTAAACTAAAAAATCAATTTTGTAGCCCAGTTATGCTGCCCAAATGTTTGTTGATTACTTTGTCTTAGTCAAAATTTTGCTTTATCAGAACCAAATGTTATTTTTAAACTAAAAAATCAATTTTGTAGCCCAGTTATGCTGCCCAAATGTTTGTTTTTACTCTGTCTTAGTCAAAATTTTGCTTTATCAGAACCAAATGTTATTTTTAAACTAAAAAATCAATTTTGTAGCCCAGTTATGCTGAGAATGGTATTCTTGAACAAATTGACACTACTGATGTCATTAGGTGTTTTGCAACACTGAAATAGGAAGCATACAGTAGATTCTTTAAGATAAGATTTACCCATGAAAATACGACACATACTGTACAGTAAATTCTGTGAAATAGGACCATAGGGGGTAGGGTGTGGGTGGATGGAACAGAAAAGCATTGCGCGCATCTACGTGACTCATAAGTATTTTGTATGTATGTTCAGAAACAATATTAATAAAACTTATAATATTGCTTGATTAAATATATATATATAATAATGCAGTATCTACATTGTATGTTTTTCGATTTCAGGTCATAATGGCATATCATCACAAGTCTGGGTATCAAAAAGCTAAAGACCGTGAAGATAAGAAGAAACGTGAGGAAGCGGTCATTTCAAAAACTGTTAAAATAACTGAGCTTTTTCCTAAGATTAGTGTCAATGTCAATAGAGAAGACCCACCATCGAATTTACCTTTACCATGTGTTGGTCAGTGTGGTTTGCCTGGTCAATTTGGTCATGAATTTGAACGTGATAACAGTGTTGCAGCTGTATGCACTCAATCTATCTCTCACTCTGAATCTGATGATATGGTAGACGCGGAGACACTTTCTCAGAAACCAGAAGCACAAGCTGGTTCCAAAGGTGATGACAATTCCTTTTCCACTGACATTGGGCAATGGTCTGAAGTGGAAATCAATGATACATTCTGTAACTTTTGGGTAACTCGTGGCAGTGAATGTTGTCAACATTCAAATGCTGACTTCATTAGTTCAATGCAAATTGATGGAAAACAGAAGCGCTACTGCTCACAGAATCTCTTTTATCGTGTTCATTCTCGCAATGGTGAGAAAGTCCCAAGGTCATGGTTGTGTTATTCATCAGCAACATCTCGCATTTACTGCTTTGTATGTAAATTATTTTCCGCTGATGATAATTCATTCTCAAGGAATGGTTTTTGTGATTGGAAAAATGCAGCTTCACGAATGCAGTCACATGAAAACAGCATTGCACATAGAAATGCAACAATCACATTCAGCCAAAGAGTACAAGTAAGAGGATGTGTAGATTCAGCAATAGTTGAGCAATACAGACAGGAATGTGCATATACAAAATCTGTGCTAGAAAGAGTTGTCTCAGTTATCAAATTCCTTGCTGAAAGAGGGCTCGCATTTAGAGGACATACTGAAATATTGGGGTCAAGTTCTAATGGCAATTTTTTGGGAATTTTGGAGTTGATTGCTCAGTTTGATCCATTCCTCTCCAGTCATATTGACAACCATGGTGGTAAGGGGAAAGGCTCTGTTTCATACCTGTCATCAACAATTTGTGATGAGTTAATTGATGTCATGGGAAAGCAAGTTATGAAAACATTATTGTCTGAAATACGTGGAGCAAAATTTTATTCGATTTCTGTTGACTCTACTCCAGACATATCTCATGTTGATAGGCTGTCATGTGTCTTTCGATATGTTTTGAACGATGGCCCTATAGAAAGGTTTGTGCAATTTTTAAGCATGAAAGGACATGGGGCAGAAGATTTGTTTAACAGTTTATACAGCTTTCTGGAAGAAGCAAAGTTGGATATAAAATATTGTCGAGGTCAGTCCTACGATAATGCTACCAATATGGCAGGAAAATATTCAGGGTTACAGGCACGCATTCGAGAGAAGAACCCATTGGCTGAATATGTGCCATGTTTTGCACACTCCCTTAATTTAGTCGGTGCATCAGCTGTAAACTGCGTGACAACAGTGAGTGGATTTTTTGATTTTGTACAAAACTTGTATGTCTTTTTAAATGCATCAACCCAACGGTGGGAGCTTCTAACCAAAGGATTGGATAGTAACCAGTTAGTTCTAAAACGCCTTTCTGATACTCGATGGTCAGCACATTCTGCAGCAACTAAAGCATTGAGCAAAGGCTTTAAAAATGTTAAGACAGTGTTAGAGAACATTGCTGAGGACCCCGAGGAGAAGGTTGAAGCTCGCACTACAGCTGCAGGAATTGCAAAGAAGATGGATCAGTTAGAATATGGAATTTTATTAGAACTCTGGACACCCATATTAGATCGCTTTCATAAGACCAGTTTAAAACTGCAAAGTCCACAACTTGATCTAAATGAGGCTGTTCAACTGTTAACTTCACTAAAAGAATATGTAAATTCACTTCGAGCACAGTTTGACTTCTTATAAAGAAGAGAATCAGAGGAAACGAAAGCGAAGTGTTCAATTAACCCGTCATGATGGATCAGCTGATGAAACAGTGTTTTCGGCACAGCAGAAATTTCGAGTCATGGTTTTCTTGCCAGTACTTGATCACTTGAACTCAGCATTATGTAAACGATCAGAGGCATACAGTGGTGTATGTGATAAGTTTGGTTTTCTGAGAAACATTCGATCACTGGAACAGTCTGATTTGCGAAGAGCCAGTAGAAACTTGATAGATACTTATGTAGATGATTTGGAAGAGTCATTTGAAGATGAAATACTTCACTTCAAAGAATATTTGTTAGCTGATACGTACTTGCAACAGAATGAGAAAGAGTAGCTCTATGCTACTGAAAAGTAGCTCTATGCTACTGAAATGTAGCATAGAGCTGTATATGTATCGGGCTTTGAGAAACAGCAGTGCACTACAAGATATATTTCCAAATGTTGCCACAGCACTTCACATATACCTCAGTTTGATGATCACCAACTGCAGTGATGAAAGATCATTCTCTGCATTGAAACGGATAAAAAACTATCTGCGAAGTGCTTTGGGTGATGACAAACTGAATTCCCTTACTGTTATGTGTACTGAACCTGACATCCTAAGAAGCTGTGACTTCAATGAAATTTTATCAGACTTTGTTGAACGAAAATGCAGAAAAATGAATTTTTGATCGTGTTGTTTTTTTCTTTGGGTCAGCCATTTATAAAATATATACTAGTATCTAATATACCTGATAATTTGTTTGTAATTTTAAAATAAAATTAGATTTTATTATAGATATTAATATTATAAACAAAATTAAAATTGTACTTTTTGACGTATTTTTTAGAAAAATATAGGTATATAGGGCCCATGAATTAGTTAAGCCTATAGGCCCATAATTTGATAATCCGCCACTGGAAAAAATGTACTTCAAATTATTACCAGAAAAGAAAATATTGGTATCATCCGCAAAAAGAATGAAATTTAGTAACTCGGAGGATAAATGGATATCATTTATATATATGAGAAATAGCAGAGGACCAAGAATTGAGCCTTGGGGGACACCATAACTAATACTTTCTAATTGTGTACTTGTTAAGTCATACGTAATACATTGTTTACGATTCTGAAGATACGACTGAAGCCATTTTAAATTCTAATTCAAAATTCCGTAGTTTTGCAATTTATATAGAAGGATTTCATGATCTACAGTTTCAAAGGCCTTCGATAGATCTACAAAAACTCCCAGTGTATAGTTGTTGTCATCAAGCCTTTCAAAATAGTCAAATCAACTATCGCATGCTCAGTGCAATGGTTTTTTCTAAATCCAAATTGTTTATAGTATAAAATATTATTTTTTTCAAGATAATTGTATAATCTATTGTACATTACACGCTCAAGAAGCTTTGAAAAACAGGAAAGTATTGAGATGTGGTTATATGAGGCCTGTAGTTGGTTTCTATTGAATCATCGCCATTTTCATGAATTGGAATTATTTTCGCAAATTTTAATTGATCAGGAAAGACTCCATTTTTTAAAGAAAGATTAAATATAACGAAAAGTGGTTACTCTATAATATCATAGACTGCTTTCACAACATTTGAACTAACATCATCAAGACCAGCGCTTTTATTCGTTTGAAGTGTGTTAAAA